ATGGAGGCAGCAAACCACATTGCCATGTAGGTACCTATGTAACAATCCTGCATGTTCTACACATGTACCCCAGAACCTAAAGTGCAATAAAATATATATATATATTTAATAAATGTAAATATAAAATATAAAATAAAATATAAAATATATTTATTTTATATATATATATAATAAATATATAAAATCAATTATATTGGCCAGTTAAGCACTATCTCTATTTACTTTCCCAAAGGGAAAACTAAGTCCTTCACTCTGACACTAACACACTGCACCTCTAGCAATCTAATCTGACCAAGGAAACTCGCTGCCAGCCTGAAATCTGCAGCAGTATCCTGCGTCCTGAGTGCTCCTAATGGCTGTCTCCTGATATCCTACTGCTCCCTGTACACACCCATCAGCTAGTGGAAGAATACCAGAGGCACCACAGTCGAGTATGTTCCTTCCCTCCGAGCTCTGGGTGTGACACTGGCCAGTACAGCAGAGTGGGAGAGTATGACAGGGCACCAAACACAAACAAGACTCCAGCATAGAGCAGCCGAGAATGGGAGACAGCTTAGGAGACCGCTAATGAGCACAGGCTAAAAGCAGGGTCCAGAGCTCAGGGGCAAACTCTGTCTTTTCTGTCTACCCATGACTGGCAATCCTAAGAAAGAAGAGGAGAGTACTCAAATCAAGCAATTTTCTTATAAACAAATTGGGAGGTAATTTTTTTTTCTTTTTTTTTTTTTTTTAAGAGGCAGGGTTTCACCATGTTGGTCAGGCTGCTCTCCAACTCCCGACCTCAGGTGATCCACCTGCCTCAGCCTCCCAGAGTGCTGGGATTACAGGCGTGAGCCACCACACCCGGCCTTGGGAGGTAATTTTAATATTAAAAAATAACACCAAAAAATCAGTAAGTCCACAGTTAAGATGCCATTCATATTTCATTTCCATAATTCCCTTACCCTCTTGATAAGGGCAAGAGAGGTGGTATACAGAACATTTCCAATCTATTGTTTTAGTATAATAATCTCATCCTCCCCACCTCTGAGAAAATACCAATAAAATTATTCTACTTACGGTCAGTCAATTCTCTGTGTAAGAGATTAGAACAAAACAATAATTACAGCAGCTGCATCAATTCTTCAAAGTACAGAAGTACAAACCCACCTCGAGATTTGAGATCAAATATAATTTGGGGTTTTCTGTGTTATTATTCAAATATTCTATTATTTTTCTGTTTTTCCTTCTGTCAGTTAGAACTTCAAACGAAAGTAAAATGCTACTTAGGGATAAAACGTAAAATAAAAGAAAATTCCTGAATCCCTCATTTCAAACTGAGGGGATGGGCCTCCAGCAAAGCTAATGGAAAATTATATACTCATAAATGGGCTGTGATAAGGGTTTACATTTGCCATCTGAAAAGAGAAAAGAAAATTCTAAAGCAAAGCCTTTATATTTCTCTTCATCAACAAAGAGGAAAAATACTGTAACATAAATATAAAATGAAACTTCCAATAATTCTGTCATTTATAGAGCAAAGGCCCTAAGTCTGAGTCTGTCTCTCTGAGAAATATTTATTAAACAACTGGAGGTTAAATCAATGAGATGACAAAAATGAACATACTGTACCCTGAAGACATGTTAGCATTTACTCCTTAGAATATAATGGCTTAGGCCAGGAGGGCATGGTGGCTCACGCCTGTAATCCCAACACTTTGGGAGGTGGAGGCGGGTGGATCACTTGAGGTCAGGAGTTTGAGGTCACCCTGGCCAACATGGTGAAACCCCGTCTCTACTAAAAATACAAAAATTAGCCAGGCGTGGTGGTAGGTGCCTGTTATCCCAGCTACTCAGGAGGCTGAGGCAGAAGAATCGCTTGAACCCAGGAGGCAGAAGTTGCAGCGAGCTGAGATTGTGCCACTGCACTCCAGTCTAGGCAACAGAGTGAGACTCTGTCTCAAAACAAAAACAAAAACAAAACCATAATGGCTCTATCAGAAAATTCCAGAAAGTTACATATACTTTTTTTTTTTAGACAGTGTCTTGCTCTGTTGCCCAGACTGGAGTACAGTGGCACAATCACAGCTCACCATAACCTCAATCTCCTGGACTCAAGCAATCCTCCTGCCTCAGCCTCCTGAGTAGCCAGTACTACAGGCACTCACCACCACATCCAGCTAATTTTTTCTTACTTTTTTTTAGTGATGGAGTTGTGCTGTGTTGCTCAGGCAAGTCTTGAACTCCTGGCCTCATGCAACCCTCTGACCTCTGCCTCCTAAAGTAGGGGAACTACAGGTGTGGGCCACCCAGCCCATATATGTTTTTGTAGACATCTTTAATTCAAGGACAAAAATCTCTTCTCAGTTCACTCCACTGCATCATTCATGAGATCTTAATATAATGCTTAAAAGTTCAGTATATTTAGAGCATTTTGAAGGCTGGTGTTAGAAAAGAGTCTCTGCATGTAAATGCTGTTATTTTATACTGTTTCCCTTTCTCTTTATATATATTAAAAAAAAAAAGTCAGGAAGTGGGCTGTCTCCATCATTACCCATAGAACCCAAAGCAGTATTAAGGGGGAAATGGATTTGAGATTCTGACTATATGGGTTTAGATATGCCCCCACTATTATTAGCTGTGTGACCTTGGGAAACAAATTTAATTTTTTGAGTCTTGGCTTCCAAATCTAAAAAATGGAAAAATAATATCTATCTTGTAGGACTGTTATAAAGACTAAATAAGATAGCAGACGTACAAGCACCCAGCATTGTGTCAGGTATGAAACAGACTCTCAATAAATGTTTGTTAGTCCCTCTTTCTGCCTTGTTACACATACCCAGTCCCCTGACACTTTATAAGGAGTTCTGCTAAACATTTTAACTACCAGCTCTATTTTCTTCAAAACAGGCACTTGGCTCTTAATAGTGACATAACAATCATGTGAAAGACTCCTGGGGCCTGACATTGTTCTGGAGAAACAAAAAAGTTCTCACGTTAGGGAACAGCACCAACTGCTTCAGGCTATGACAAGCCCCAAAACGCAAATCCCTTCCTGCATGTTTTTACGGTGTTACTTAACATCCTGAGAGCTTTGTGCTCTTCCAAGAGTCTTTTTCTCCCTGTAAGGATCAGGCACACTGCCCTCTCTTCCCTTCTTAAGAGAGGTTTTTATTCAACAAGACCACCCACTGCACTCAAATATTTGGAATCGGAAAAGGCCAGGTTGGACCATGAAGAAACTGGCAAAGTCTCAGGACTAAACAGTAAGCCCTTCTTAACCTTTTAAAATCTGGATTTCTGTGCTTGCTTTTCTTGAAAATAGCAGACTTGTTGATGTACTGGTTCAAACACATCTGTGTATTTTCCTCATCTACATTACCAAAGAACTTACCATGTAGAAGATTTGTTACTGAAGTCCTGAATCTCAGACTATGACTATAATTTAACAAGGCAGTGCTTCCCAACCTCTCTCATTTCATGGTACTGCCAGACCTTTAAAAATGGCACCTCTCACAATGATGGCAATATTTTTTGTCAACAGCAGTTCACCTAGTGAGTATTGAGAGTCTGGGTCTGAGTGAAAAGAAAAAAGAAAAAAAAAAATGGCACCGCCGGGCACAGTGGCTCCTGCCTGTAATCTCAGCACTTGAGGTGTAATCTCAGGAGGCTGAGGCAGGCAGATCACATGAGGTCAGGGGTTCGAGACCAGCCTGGCTAACATGGTGAAACCTCTTTTCTACTAAAAATACAAAAAAAATTAGCAAGGAGTGGTGGCACACACCTGTAATCCCAACTACTCAGGAGGCTGAGGCAGGAGAATCACTTGAACCTGGGAGGCGGAGGTTGCAGTGAGCCAAGATTGCACCGTTGCACTACAGCTTGGGCAACAAGAGCAAAACTCCATCTCAAAACAAAAAGAAAAGAATAGAAAAATGGCACCTCTTAGAAAGCTCTGAATTAATGGGACCTGCAAGTATTGATGATTAGTAATGGGACTGCTGGGGCTCAAAAAACAATACCCCAAAGCATGGCACTTTGACATGCTGAGGGGACTGGGTACGTGTAACAAGGCAGAAAGAGGGACTAACAGTCTCTTTGAACTAAAAGAGACTGGATGGCCCCAGAAGCAGCCTCAGAAGCCAAGTCTCCGACTCTCTCCTGCCCTCCTGTCTCCCTTCCCTCTTTCCCCTTTCAAGTCATAGAAACCAGAATTATTCTTCCTCAGGGTGGGTCACAGAAACTAGAACCCCTCACCCTCAAAGCAAGCCATAAAACCTAGAAAGGTCACTCTCTCCCTTCTAAACCCTTATTCCAGAGGGTCATATCTGGGAGGAAGGAGTGCTACACAGAGAGGCCAATAAGAATCTGAACAGAAAGGCCTTGCTGGTTTTTTCCCTCTGTTTATTGCCATTAGAACATACCCTATGTGCAGTTACATTTCTACACAACTGTCCATTCTTTATTAAACTTAAGCATAAAACAGTTTTCCCTATGTCTTGGGATCTTCATTCTGCAGGCTCCCATGTCACATAAAACTTTGATGACATATATTACGCTTTTCTCTTGTTAACCTGTCCTTGCTATCGGAGTGTCAGCTGTGACCCTTATGATGGGTGAGGAAAGGTACACTTTTTCCACCTTTACAAGGCTCAGGGCATGCCACCCCAAAATGTGCCTGGTTAGCATAAGGATTATATTATAAGAAACTTGTAAGAGAAATGCACATCTATAAAGGAAATCTCCATTTGTAAAGGTATGTCCCTCTCCGCACCAGGAAAAGAAAGATGACTAAATTACTAGAGACTCAATCAATGGAGAATACACAGACTTAAATCTGCATTAACAAACCTTACCTTTGTTTTATGGTGCCTTTCCTGGCCATCTTAGCTGAGCCTTTCCCCACTCTTTTTTTTGTTTCAGAGAATGACAGTATTTGAGCCTGAAGTTTATACCTTTGAGATCTACCCTAGAGATTTACTCACCTCTCTGGGTTATTTCTCATATATAAAGGAGGTGTATGTTATTAAACTTCCATTTGTTTTTCTCTGGCTAATTTGTATTTTTTGAAGGGTGTCCCAGATAAGAACTCATGAATGATGGCGGAGAAAATTATTTTTCCTCCCTTATATTACAAAACGTTAAAGTACAAATAAGAGTGAGAGAAAGGAATACAAAGATAAACCTATTTGCCATCTAACACAGAGGCTTTTATCACATAAACATAATTGTCTCAACTTCATGTAGCTCACGGTCAGTGTCCATACTGCCTCACAGGGCTGATTACTCTTCACTTCTGTCAGACCTCAAGGAGAAAATGGGTGTCAGAAAAACAACTAATGTTTGACTTGGGGCAGTCAGTTGTCAATGTAAGAATTACAAAACTGTAAGTCAGTGAATTAGGCATTAAAAAACTAATTCAGTGTCTTGTAACCTGCCAGGTATAGTTGTAGGCAATGAGAATTCGGCTTTAGATAACAGTGTCTGCCCTTCGGCCAGGTGTGCTGGCTCATGCCTGTAATCCCAACACTTTGAGAGGCTAAGGCAGGAGGACTGCTTGAGCCTAGGAGTAGACGACCAGCCTGGGCAATACAGTGAGACCCCACACCTAAAAAAAGTCAAAAAAATTAGCCAGGCAAGGTGGTACGCCCCTGTAGTCCCAGCTACTCAAGAGGCTGAGGTGGAAGATTGAGCCCAGGAGGTTAAGACTGTAGTGAGCTGTGATTGTGCCACTGCACTTAGTCTGGGCAACAGAGACCCTGTCTCCCACTGCTCACCAAAAAAAAAGGCAATTTAAATAGATTACATAAGGCTAGACATGGTGGCTCACACCTATAATCCCAACACTTTGGGAGGCAGGAGGATCACTTGAGGTCAGGAGTTCAAGACCAGCCTAGGCAACATAGCAAGACCTCTTCTCTACCAAAATAAATAAATAAATAAAGATCAAGAACACGTAGATTAATTCTTTCCATGTCATGAGAAAACTGTTAGCCATCTCCTAGGTAGTTTATTCAAGAGGATAAAGACAACTGAATAAATTACAGACAGAGGCTGACCCAGTTCCAATATTCAATTCTCACATTCTTGTTTAGTTGTTAGGGCTAGTGTGGCTACCTCTGTCCTTTGATAACATATAAAAACAGGATGACATCATTTACAGGGAGATCATGAAGGCCTAGACAGTATAAAATTACAAAGCACAAGACTAGAAATCAGAAGGCTGAAGTGATTGCATCTACTTCCAATTCTATCACCTAATACTCATGGGAATTTAGGTAATTCACTTAAAACTTTTGAAGCCTGACTTTCTTCATCTATTCTATCCCACTTCATAGGGTTTTAAGAAAGTTTTAAGAAGCCAATATAATAAAAGCACCTGAAAATGTTTAAAGCATTGGATAAATGCTAACTATAACTGCCTAATCAAAATGTTTATTAAAAATAAATAAACACCAATAAATGGTTAAGGGTTAAAAAAAAGTTTATAAGAAGGCTCAAATGAAAAGAGACAAGCGTAGTGACATTTAAGACCAAAATGAGTTCTTGCTCCTGTATATTAGCTGTTTTAAAACCTTTGCTTCCATTCTACTGTCCCCAGGAGCTTTGGAGGAAATGGATCCCAAAAAGTGATATCAGGGCTTAAAGAGTGCTTTTTAGTGATTTACCCTCAACCTCACAAAGCCAGATCAGAAAATTACTTTCTGAAAGGTTTTTCATTTCTTGGTATGCTAATTACTTTCAATTAAGAGACAGGAAATAAGTATGAGGTCACTTCTCTTAGCTATTAAGTCATTATTAAGCACCTTGACAATCTCTGTTCTTCTTGGAATACTGCCCTTTCGGGTATCTCTATCTTAAATTCAACTGCCTGTGGAGCAGATAGGCCAAGTAGAGTCAAAGCTGGCTGGGGCAGTATGGGGAGAGTGAGGAGTGGTGGGACTGCAGTGGTGAGCACAGTATCATCTAAAGGAATAATAACTTCTCAGCTCTAGCCTATTATTTGTAGAAAAGTGGGCCCAGTGTTGCCAGACCTTTGTTACTTCAAAAGATTACAGAAACCGCATTTTGTGACACGCACCCAATTTTATTTTGCTTATAGTTATCTAGGTCTACTACAAATGGAAGGATATCACAGCATACCACCCCAAAATATGCCACCTTTGCAGAATGATTTTTTTTTTAACTGAAGGCAACTGTCAAACAGGAGAAATGCTTTGCCTCAAAGCAGAACATAAATCTCCTTTGTGGGAGTGTCCCCACCTTTTATACAGGAAGCATACAATAACTCTTAATCACCTGAGATGACTCTAGAGTCTTATTATTATTAGTTCAGAGATAGCAAGAGAGAAATCTGCATAACAAACCTTCCTAAAACAACCCCTATATTTACCTTCCCACAATGTACCAAACCTGGAAAGCTCAAACCCCTTTTTGTCTTGTACATCTCCACAATTCGCCACTTTTTGTTAAAAATGGTACATAAGATTTCAGGCCTAACCACTTTAGATCTTCACTTTTTTTTCTATGAAGTCCTCCATATGTACATGTAATAAACCGTTTCTCCTGTTAATCTGTCTTCTGTCAGTTTAATTGGCAGGGCCCCAGACACTGAAACTGGAGGGTAGAGGGTAAAGTTTTCTTCTCTCCTACAAAAATTATAGTCCAGAATTCTCTGGCTGTGAAAGAATGAGTTATGTATTTAAAAAGTATTTACTGTTGCCAATGTATACTTTATCATTCTGATATGGGGAAGTAAATATTAAGCAAGGCCTTGTAAGCTAGAGATGGGAGAGAAGACAGTTCAGGCTGGGCAAACATAGTATGCAAAAATACTGAGGTAGAAATACGGCAGGCTGGGCACAGTGGCTCACGCCTATAATCCCAGCACTTTGGGAGGCCGAGGCCAGTGGATTACGAGGTCAAGAGATCGAGATCATCCTGGTCAACAAGGTGAAACCCTGTCTCTACTAAAAAAAAAACCAAAAATTAGCTGGGCATGGTGGTACGCGCTTGTAGTCCCAGCTACTCGGGTGGCTGAGGCAGAAGAATTGCTTGAACCCAGGAGACGGAGGTTGCAGTCAGCCGAGATCGCGCCATTGCACTCCAGCCTGGGTAACAAAAGCGAAACTCCGTCGAAAAAAAAAAAAAAAAAAGAAATATGGCCGGCATGCTGGGGGGATAAACAGACTCATTCTGCTGAAAGATAGGATTCCTTTTGAGAAGGAATAGAGCATAGGTGGGAAAAAATGTGAAAGACACTGAATTCTAGAGTTAAGATTTTTATAACCTTTAAAGGAAAAAGGCTGTAGAAAATGGAGAGCCATTCTGAGGAAGGGATTACTATATTTCATATATTGTAGAGGGTTATATGTTACCGTTCTTTCCCTTTTTTCAAAAATAGAAGATAAAGCTGAATGCTGACACATGAAACTTGAGTTCTAAAAAACATTTCCAAACGAATGCCCATTTAAGCAAACACATTATAAGTAAACTCTGTTGGCAATGTGGTGGTCAAGATTTTCAAAGCAAAAATTAAATGATCTCTAAGAGGCTATTTATTTCTAATCAATAAAAACATTTA